CCCCAAAACCCCAAAACCCCAAAACCCCAAAACCCCAAAACCCCATAAGTATCAAATAATGAAGAAATCAATAACTAATGAAATTATTCTCAATTAAAAAAGTATTGAAATGCTTAAAAGGCTTAGTAAAAATGTCACTAAAACATATTATCATTCATATTTGTTATGCTCTATCAGAAATCTTTTTTTATTATTTTTATCATTGTAATTAACCTTTGGTTCGGGTGGAGGGCACCATTCAAAATAGAATTAAGTTGTTGTGGGTTCTTCGGTAATTATAGGAAAACATAGAGATGCTATTGTACTATGATTTGTGGTTGCACAAGAAGAAGTTGTTATTGATATGCTGACAGGAGACGGGGTAGAACTTTGTGAAATTGAACTTACAAAAATAGGAGTAGTAGTTTAAGTTGAGGCAGATATACTTACCGTTACACTTTGAGTGGCTTTAGTTGTGATTATAGTAACAATAGCTTAGTCTGTTGCTACTATTGTAGCTGTATTTGTGATTGTATCTATTAATGGTACTTATGTAATTTAAGGTGCAGAAGGCAATTATGTTATTGGAACAGTAATTTATAATTGTTATGCTAAAGTTGCAGCTGGTGCTTCTGTAATCTATATTTATGATGGTGATTATGTTCCTGGATCAGTAGTCAATACACCTACAGGTAAATTTACTGTTGTTATTTGAGCGATTTAAATCGTAATTGGTGATTATGTTGCCTAAACTGTAGTTGATAACTCTAAGGCTAAAGTCAAAGTTGGTGTTTGAGGAATTTGAATCGTAATTGGAGATTCTGTTACTGGAACAGTAGCTGATAGACCTAAATCTGAAGTTACGATTGGTATTTGAGCGATTTGAATCGTAGTTGGTGATTATGTTGCCTAAACTGTAGTTGATAATTCCAAGGCTAAAGTCACAGTTGGTGTTTGAGCTAATTAAACAGTTGGTGATTCTGTTGTTATAATTGTAATTTAGGCCTCTATGAGTGAGGTTGCTGATGGTGCTTCTGTAATTATTTCTACTGTTGATGAAGCTTATGTAATTAGAATTGTATTCTATTATGTTTGAATAGGGGCGACTGTCTGGCTTGTTTCCTAATTTGTAGTGGGAGAAGAAGTAGTCTAATTAGGGGTGGCAGTGGTAAAAAGAGTAGATAACTATTATATTATAGTCAATATATTAGTAGGGATTAACGTCAATAGCCCCGCTGGTAGAGTGAACTATATAAATTTATCAATGGAAAAAATAGACAAAAGCAAAGTATTAAAAGAAAATTTATATACTTACCGTAGGTAATCGAAATTATTCTGCTTCCACTTATACTAGCTAAGAAATTATTAAGAATTTTCATTAAAACTAACATTATTCAGGTTAGAATCTGATAGGAATCCATTCTATTTATTGAGATATTCATGCTTATTAAGGTGCTTCACTCTAACTTATTAATTCAGATCCCAAAGTAAAACAATGACCATTGTTATTATTAAGTGTCTTGAATACCACATAAGATCAAAATGATTAAAATATTATTATTCTACAGGATTTAATTATGAATTATTAAATAGGTAATTAGTATTCTAATTATGTAGATTTTGGAATTGAAAATGTTTTGTAGCATTTTAACTTCTTGGGGTTTTGGGGTTTTGGGG